ACCTCGGTCTCTCGTTCTCTCTCTTTCTTTCTGTATTACTCTCTCTCTCTCTCTCTCTGTCTCTAGTTTGGGCAACTCATTGTCACATAATTAACACTTGATATAGCAATTTTCTATACCAATTTTCCCAACAAATGTGCGAAAAACTATCGAATTACCTTTCTCCAAGCTGGCAGGAAATGCGCACTAGTTTCTAATATACTCTACTCTCTCCCTCTCTCTCTCTCTCTCTCCCGCTCTCTCTCTCTCACTGTGTGTTTCGGAAGTGCGGCTGGACGATAATATCACAAATATCTCCGCCCTTTTACCACCCGATGCTTATCGCAACATTTTCATTTAAGATTTTTGAGGTTTTCCTTTCAGTATTTTCCCAATTTTCTTTTCTTTTTTTCTTTTTGCAAAATTGGTGCGATTGATTTTTTGTGCGGTTCGCTTTTGTGTTGTTTTTTTTTTTTTTTTTATGTTGTGAACACGCGTGGCAGATGCTAAAACATAATTGCAAAAGGACAAAAAGAGGAGAAGCAAAAGGTAAGAAATCTGAAGAGTGTAGCAAAAGGCAAAGATAGAGAGATTGAGAACAAGATATTTCATAAGTACAACAAGATTTTCTTAATTTAATAATTTTATTAATTAAGCTAATGGAGATTTTGCCAAAAGTGGGTGAGTGCTATGAAAAAAAGAGTTTATATGTAGTCGAAAAAAATAAATAAAAAATGAATAGCTATAATAGAGAGTTGAATATATGATTGATATATATATTGAAAGATGGGCAGATATATGGATAGAGAGATAAGAGATATATAGGTGGATAGAAAAGTGCTAAGGAGTAGAAAGGATATATATAAAATATATAAATAGATGGTAAATAGACAGATAGGATCGATAGGTGTATGGATAGAGAGATAGGAGATATAGTAAAAGTAGTAAGAATATATATATAATATATAAATGGATGGTAAATAGTTGGATTTATAGATAGAGAGAAAGAACGATAGATAGATATGGATAGATGGAGGGAATGTATGAGTGGATGAAAAGCTCGACAAATAGATAGGCGAAAGGTAGCTAGATAAATGGATAGATAGGTAGATGATTGATGATTTATGGACTTATAAATATACAGATTGATAAGTAAACAGATTATTTGATCTCAATTAGAATATGCATTGCATGAATTAGGGAATTATAGATCTATTTGTAGAGATTTCTATAGTTAGGCCGATAAATAGATGTATAAGTCATTTATTCGTTTAATTGAACAAACGATTAGAAAGGCCAGAGCACATGTTTAGGCGCTTCTAATTGTATACTATATATACATATATACAGTCATACACATATGCATAAATATATATATATCTACATTTATATACACTACATTTGCGATCGGGAAAAAAGCCCAATTACAGAACCAATTAGGGCGCAATTATGGGCCATTAAGCCAAATCCACTTACAATTTAAGCCTGAAAAAGAAAAAAGAAACTGACTCAGGCAAAACAAAGACCAACAACAGCAGCAACAACAGCAACAACAACAATGACAACGACAACGAGTCGAGTGTGTTAGCCAGTTAGCCATTGCCTATTGCCCTTTTTTTTTCGTTCGTTTTCTTCTTTTTTTTTTTTTTTTGTATACTTTTTCTCAAGCTGTTTGTCGTCTTGGCCAAGCACAAATGTGTGAAAAATAGTTGCGGCCATTACATAAACAGCAGCAGTGGCAGCGGCAGCTGCTGACAGCGATCCTCAGGTGAAGAGGCCAAGGTGCCCAGGCACAAGTGTGAAGGAAAGCAGAAAAGAACAACATTGACGCAGCAAAGGACACACGCAGGCTACACACACAGAGAGAGAGAGTGAGAGAGAGAGAGACAGCTACAGGATATATATATAGATATAGATATAGTTGTTGTAGGGGTCTCGCACTGGCATGACTTTCAAGTAAATATTTATTAAAATAAGCAGAAGCAGAAGAAAAACGACAACAGCTGCTGCTGCTGCTACTCCTGCTGCTGCTGCTACTGCTGCTGCTGCTGCTGCTACTGCTGCTGCTGCTGCTACTCCTGCTGCTGCTGCTGCTGCAAAGTATGCTCCATATTGTGCCGCTGGCATCGAGCTGCGTCCTGCTCAATGGCCACTCAAATTAAGGATAACAACGTGACAGACAGCAGCGAGCAGCCAGCAGTCAGTTGAAAGTGGAAAGTAGAAAGTGGAAAGTGGCAATTTTACAGTTAAAGGATATGCCAAAGCCACAGCTCCTTTGGCTGCCTTTAGATGCGGCCTGCTGCTGCTGCTGCTGCTGCCGCTGCTGCGGCTTGCCACTCGACTCGATTTATTTTGTACACAACTAGCGGCTGCTCCTGCTCCTGCTCCTGCTGCTGCTCCTACTCCTGCTGCTGCCCATTGTGCCAGCCATAGAAATAGGACAAGACTTTTGCCTTTTTTTTTTGCTTACTCCGTCTCCTGCATCTTCTGCTTCTTGCAGCTCAGCTTGGCTCGCAGCGTTGGCAACACAACTACACTGAGCGAAACTGTGTTGTGCAAACACTGAAAATGTGACCCGAGAGCAAATAGCTGTAGCAGCAGGCGCTGCAAGCCAACTGCGGAAAGGTCAACAACAACAACAGCATCGAGGGAAGCAGCAAAACAGTTGTAAAGTGTGAAAACTTAACAAATTAAATGTGCCTCGATGTGTGTGTGTGTGTGTGTTTGTGTGTGTGTGAGGTAGCTGCGGTCAAAGGCAATTCAAATAAATGAGTGTGCAAGTATATAGAAGTGTGCGTGAGTGTGAGTGTGTGTGTGGGCGTGAGCAAATAAACTAACAAATGATATGGCCCAAAAAAAAAGGTGAACTTTATAAAATTGAATAGCAAATTAGATAGAAATAGAGAATGACGGCAAAGATAGCCCAAAATTAAAGTTAACAACCCATGAGAACGGGTGTGAGAATTTGAGGGAGAGGGGGAGAGAGGAAGAGACTAACTGTTTATAATAGAGATACTAAACACGTAATTGTAGAGGTAGCGAGGGAGAAAGAGAGAGAGAGATAGCTATAAGTGAAAAGGGCTACGAATCGCGCAGGGAGAATGTTAAGCTTGCCTTAGTCTGAGCTATTCTGGTATTAATTATAATGATTATGAATAAAAATAATTCATAACAATAATAACTATAAAATATATTAATAATACAGTGTTATAGGTTTAATGATTTAAATTAAAATTTCTTATATTTATTTTATTTTGTTATAGAGCGAGCATAATTTCATTTCTTGGCTAACAAAATGGGCTATTATTTTCAGGATTCAATATGAGGCTAATGCATTGCATTTGCAATAATGAGGTTACCTTAATAGATTTCAATTTTCAATTCAAAATTTTCAATTCATTTTTATGCATATTTTTACTTGCATCTATAAAATAAATGTATTTGTTATAAAATTTATACTATTCACTATACAGAAGAAATTGACTGCATAAGAAGATAATTTTCTTGTAATTGACAAACAAATTTATTATTTTAATATATAATATATTCGCAACTTTTAATTACCAAGTAAATGCATATTATTTGAAGCTTTAGTCAACAATCTGTCATCTAGCAATTATCTAGTATTTTAAAGATATATCAAAATAGTTTTTAAGAAAAATAAAATACTTAAAGCCGTTTATTATTAAAAGATTAACTGTATTACAATTATTTGCTTTTAATAAAATTTCAATAGATAAAAAAACATTTCTGTTTTAAGTTAAGGCAGAGTAAAAAATTTTTGGCTATCCTCCATTTGCATTATTATATATAAAATATATTTCCCCAAGCAAGAAATAAATGAAATAAGAAAACTAAAAAATATATCATTTTATATAACATATAAATGAATATATATTATAAATCTGCTATACCTTAAGACGGTGGAAAAAATAAATACAAATGAATAATGATCCTAAAGTGTCTTTGACTCAAAAATATGTAAGTCTCCAAGGGTTTTAGAAAATTATATTCTAAGAAAAACCGTTAGCTCTCTACTGACGAAAATAATGAAATTCATTATTTGAATTATATATCTATTGATCTATCTATCCATATTTCTTTCTAATATCAAACAATAATAACATTATTCCTATAATAATATCAGTCTATCAAAATAGACATAATGTGATTATAAATTTGCATACAAAGAAATAAATAAATGTAAATAGCAATAAACCTAGCAAAAACTCTGTGACACGCAATAAAAAATGCATGCTAAATATTTAATAAGCGCTTCAATTACTTTTTTTTACACATTTATCAAATAACATTTTTGCATGCCTTTTTCTTTGGAAAAAATGCGTACTGGAAGCTTTATTGGTAAACAATTGGATAGTTGCATTTGATTCCAATTGGAATGTAATTGAGCTTGCATAATTATGCACTTAATTAGCTCTGCACACACACAAATACACACACACGCATACATTGGCAGCGCGTTTATCGATTGAAGTGCAAGATTTCACACTTCTCCTGATGAGCCACTCAACACGTGTGTGTGTGTGTGTGTGTGTGTGTGTGTGACTGTTTGTCGGTGTGTTATTAATAAGCTTCTGCCTTAACCCTAACTGCCTACCGCATAGCACCTGAACCAACAGCCCCCTTTCCCCGCACCCGCCCTGCACCGTGCCGTGTTTAATTTGTCGTTTTATTGTTTTAATTTTGCCTGCCCAGCGAGGCGAACAAACGCGGTCTGGCAACCCCTTTTTTTCGCTGTGGCGAATTCAAGCTTATTAGTTGCGCCTAAAGACAAAAAGAGAGTGTCCCGTTCAGTTGGTTGCTTTCGTTGTGTTCGTTCACGCTCCCTCAACCGTTCCCTCTCCCTCTCGCACTTGCCTAAAACAAAGCTTTTTGTTCTTCGTTCTTCTTCTTGTGGTGCTTTCATTTCAATTAGCTCGAGTGTAGGACTGACTCTCTGTCACTTATAACTAACTGCAACTGCCACTGTTGCCCTCTCGCTCACTCGTTCAGTCACTTACCTGCAAACTGGGCGCCGAAATGCTGCTGAAAGTGTCCGCGAAATTCGTGATGCGTGCTGAAGCCGGGCGGCAGGAAGCCGCGCAGATAGGCGGCCGCTGCCAACGTCGTCATGTGATGGTGATGGGCGGCAGCTGCATTAGCCGGATCGGCGGCAGCGGCATAGCCGGCGGCTGCATAGAAATTCGCCGGATTGAATACGGGCAGTTGGCAGTGGGCGGCAGCGGCGGCGGCGGCAGCTGCAGCGGCCGCTGATAAACGCGTCACATCTGGCGAAATGGATCGCGAATCTCGCGAGGGCTGCTCCAGCGGTTGGCCGCTGCTCACGGCTGACTGTTGCGGCGTGTTGGCGTTCCGCGGTGGGGGCGTGGCGGCTGGCGAGAGGGGCGCCTCAATGGCGCTGGGCGTGGCAGCGGCAGCTGCCTGCGATGATTGTTGTGGTTGGTGCTGCTGCTGTTGTTGCTGTTGCTGCTGTTGTTGCTGCTGCTGTTGTTGTTGCTGCTGTTGCTGCTGGTAGGCACCGACGCCGACACCGACACCGACGCCCAGGCCGAGGATCTCCTGTATGGCAAAGGGGGTTCGCAATTTGGTCGCTTGCATTTTGCCGTCGGTAAAAAGTTTTGCTCTGTTTACGGTTTATTGCACTTGTTCAGCTAACGGCTTACGGTTAACGGTTAACATAACTCACTCGCATCGACAAACACCAAAAAAAATATGACAGCATACACACATGCACGCGCGCAAGCACACACACTTTCACACACACGACATGTGCGGCGACAAAAAAACGACAAAAAAATATAATAAGCACACACTGAATGCGCGAAGATGTTCAAAATGTTTCCAATCCAATACAATCCAATTCGATTCGAGCTCGAAAAGTAGTTAGCTCGTGCGTGCGTGTGTATGGGAAACTTAACTGTTCTTTTCTTTGGGATAACACAAGTCGCGACAACACACACAAGAACAACAACGCCAGAGCAGCAGAGAGCTTTGCTTAGATGGCTGTGGTACGCGAATGCGAATGTGAATGTGAATGTGTGCGTTTAACTGGACGTGGACGTCGTCGTTGTCTGTCGCCTGTGTCTTGTTGTTCTGGTTGTGTGTGGGCGCTGACCGTTTGCGTTCGGCGTGCACAACGTACGAAAACGAACTGAAACCAAAGCGCGCGCTGCACGCGAGCAAAAGCGTCACGTCAACGTCAACGGCGCTGTCGCTGCCGCTGCCAGCGCCAGCTGCGACGTCAACGCCAACGCACGTTGAACAACACACACGCCTTTGCGTACTTCTTGTTTTGCCGTCGCTCAGGGTAGCTTCAATTGCTTCGTCGCTGCTTGCCAAGTGTCGACTGAGGGTGTCGCTGGCTGAATGCTGCGAGTGCTGCTGCCTCTGCTGTCGTTTGCTACGCCATCTTTGCGCGAAAACGAGATGGCAGCATAGTTACTGCGATAGCTGTTTCACTCACGCCTGCACCGAGGCATGCAGCCGTTCCAATTGTAGGGGTAATGCGAGCAGCACAAACGCTTGCTATCTCGCACACACTCACTCATGTCGCCGCTTGCTATCGCGCTCTAGCCTGGAAGCGTGCACACGTACACTGTTCATACTATACGTGTGAGCCGAGCGTGTGCGTGTGTGTGTGTGTGTGTGTGTTAATTATGCGACGATTGCGCGGCCTTTGCTAAATGAAATTTTAGTTTGTTTTGCGCCGCCAATTTGGCGGGCCGCACTGCACCGGCCTCCATGCGTGTGTGTCTGTCTGTGTGTGTGTGTGACAATGCGTGCCTGCGTGTGCCTGTCTTTTTACGTGATTTTATTTACTTTTTTTTGGAATTTTTGTTTCTGTTTATAATATTGGCCGACTTGCAGTACGGACGGTCACTTGTGCGCCATTGCTTAGCAGTCACTGTTCACAAAATTATTTAAACAATTCGCAGTCGGCGATTTGGCCGGCCGATTGTTTATGCAATTCGATGCACGATAAATGCCGCCCCATCGAATTGCTGGCATTTCTGTTTATCTGTTTATCTAACGGCGAAATGTGACTGCTTGAGTGATCAAACGATCTTTAACCAGGTTATTGGGTCACTACTGAACAGCAACAGGCAGTAAAATAGTTTCGATTGAATTTCTGAAATTCCACAGAAAACTTGGAAGTAGACCCTTAATTAAAAATTATGTGGAGTACCTGGTAGATCTAAATATACAGTCGGAAAGCAAATATTTTATTTATTTATGAAAGGAGGAAGCAATGATTTTTATTTAGGATCGCTTTGTTTGTGAACAGAAAGTTGACACAGCGATCTATAATAAATATATTTACATACATATATAAGCATTCATATACGTATGTATATGAAACATATCATATTTCATAATTCCTACGTAATGATATAAACTTTGATTAGATTACCATTTGATTTCATACTCAATTATTACATCTAATTTTTTCGCTCTGTGTATTCCGTTGCCTTTTGTTTTGTTCTTTTCTTTTTTGTTCCAAAAAGTTTGCTTTCGCCTTGCTTCTAAATTGCCTTTCCAGTTGTTTTCCCACTCCTGCTTGGCATCCAATGCTTGCCTTTCCCGTTGTCTCGCTCCCACTCTCCCAATGCGCCACTGTGTCACTCCTACTCCTCGTCGCCTCGCGCCTTCTCTTTCACACTTGCCGAAAGTTGGCCATGTTAATTAAGCGCTTGGCAGCTTTCGCCTAGCCATATCGATTAGCTGTTACGCTCCCTCTCCCTCATTCTCCTCTCCTCTATGTCTCTTCACAGCCATTTCGTTGTGATTAATTAGTCGCATTGCATAACAATTGCATAATCAATATGCAATTGCCATTAACTGCTTGGCTTGCAATTAGGCTAGAGTTACGTCTAGCTACGCTCCGCCCCCACCTCCTGCCACTCACACTACCCCGCTCTCTCTCACACTCACACTCACGCTCAGCAACTGGCGTTTATGTAGCCAGTAGCAGCGTTTAATTAGCGCACTTTGACACGTCTCTCTCACTCTCTCTCACTCTCTCTCGCTTTCGCTCGTTGTGCGCTATTTGAGCTTGTGCAAAGTTTCAAGCGTTTGCATTTAGCAATTGCATTAATTGCATTAATCATACGCTGCGTTGTTCTGCTTAAATTAATTTCCCTTATTTGTTGTCTCTTTTTTTTTTTTGCTAATTAAGTATATGAAATCACAATCTCATTTGAATATATGAAAATTAAAGAGAGGTTAACCATATCTGTATCATATATATATATTTGTTATATATTTCTTTAATTTCTATATGCAGATATAAATATACAATCAATACAATTTTTATATATATGTATATATACTTATATTTCCATTAACTTTTATGTACTTACTCTTCTCTGCGATTTTCAAAAGTTCTGTTTAGGTAATAATTGCTTATACTGCTTCTTCTTATTTGCATATTCTTCTTCGTATCTTAAGTTACATTTCTGTTTCTATTAATTTTCGATTCTATCTCAATTTGAATATCTTTTATGTCTTGTTCTCTACAGTTCAATATCGTTTTTAGTTCATATCTGTCTTTCTATCATTCTTTCGATATTCATCTTCAAGTGCTTTCTAATCAAAAAGTTTGCAACTTTTTGTTCTTCTGCTTTGATTTAGGCAATCAACTGCAATTGTTGTGCTTTGCCTAACGCTTTTTCCTAATCTCTTGGCGATATTCCTTCGTTTATTGTTGTTGTTGTTGTTGTTGTTGTATTACGAATTTCAATTTCCGTTTGGCATGTCCTCAAGGACCTGTGCGCCGACTCGTATTATTTCATATTTATAATGTAATCTGCACTTCAGCCTCAAAGAGACGTCGCATAAATCACAAATGCCACTTGCGCGGACCTCTCCATCCCACTCTCTCTCTCTCTCTCTCCCTCTCTCTCTCTCTCTTGTGTATGTGACTATTTATAATACATACATATATATATATGTATATATATATATGTGTGTATGCAGATTCAGAGAGTTGGGCCCACTTCATAGGACTGTGGTCTAAAAGCCTTTTGCCTCGTCCTTTTCGCTACTCGCTGCCTTTTTGTTGTTGTTGTTGTTGTTTGCTGTTCTTTGCTGTTATTGTTGTTGTTGTTGTTCGTGTTGCTCTGTTGTTTTGTTTGATGTTCGGCATCCACTTGAAATGCATTTAAAAAGTTTTATCGCATTTGGCACACTTGAGCCGCCTGCTTAGGAATGGGCTACGGATAAATGCTCGCGTATGTGTTGTTTGCGCCAATGCAAATTGGAAATGGAATTCCAATTGGAATTGAATTTGAAATTGGTATTGAAATTTTCATTGCTTCTCATAATATTCACATTCACACTCACATTCACATTCGATTGATCCTTTGATCCGCCTTTTGGGCGTTGCACTCGCCCACATCCAATCCGCACGCACACAAACTCTCTCAGCTCTTGACTCTCAACTTTACGCTAATTGACTCTCTGACTGGCTGAAATTCTCGCCACTCGAGTCTTTCACTAATTGCCCGACTTTGGTCCAATGCGCATTCGACTAGAAACTAAGAATAAAACTTTCAACAAATTCCAACTTTTTTAATGAATGTCTTGAGCACGTATTTGAGTCTGTTTCAACCTCTCTCTCTCTCTCTCTCTCTCTGTCTGTCTTCATTTTTGTTTATATTATAATATTTGTATATTATTATAATATTTATATTGATAATATCAATATCTTCTTATTTTGCTCACCATTACTTTCTGTATATCTTTCTTTTTTGCGCTTCTCTCTTTTTCTATTTTTATCTTATTTTCTACTCTCTGCCTCTTTCTTTCTACCTCACTTTCTTTGCATCTATTTTACTATCTGTCACAGTCCTTTCACTCAGCTTTTTCTCTCAATTTCCTTCTGTCCCTTTTATTGATTTTGTCTTTTCTTCTCTGTCTCTCTTTCAGATGGAGAACAGCTCTTTGTCTTTTTCTCGCACTCTTCCTCACACTCTTTCTCTCTCTATATCTCTCTCCCATCCTCTATTTATCTCCCTTTATCACTCTTTTTCTTTCTTCTCTTTTTCTTTCTCTATCTCTCTCTTCATCTTTCTCTTTGTCTCCCTCTCTCTCTTTTACTACATCTTTGTGGCTTTATCGATTGCTTTGTCTGCCCATATATTCTATTTATCTATCTATTTTTGTATTCTTTCACTTCTCTTTCTCTCCATTCCATCCCATACTCCTTTTTCTGCTTCCTATTGTTCGTCATTCTCAGCTTGCAGTTCTCTTACCTTTCTCCGCTCGGAACTCAATGAGATTTCTCTATGAGTTGATAGTTTTCTTTGCATCTTGATCCATTCGACCATATGCATTCACTCCTTCTACTCTCTCTCTCTCTCTTTTGCCTTCCACTCAGACTGCTCTCTCTCTCTCTCTCCTTTTCGATCGATTGCCACTGCCCTGTCCCTCGGTGCGCTCATTAGTCTAAAAGCCCATTCGTACAGCATTGGCCAACTAATTAACTCCACTCGCTGCGCTCGCTTCACATCTGCACAATTTCGGATCCATTTTGCAATTGTTTTTGCTCACATCGTGCGCCTTTGGCTCCCCGGGGACACCGAGTGCAACGGCAACGGCAACGGCAATCGCAATCGCAATCGCATTTGGAGACCCGCTTCAGTTTCGGTTTCGGTTTTGGTTTTTGGCTTCGCTCACATATTAGCCAGCCACATGTAGGTCTATTTTCAACTTGGCCGCATTTCGATTACTTTTATTGGCAATGCGACGATGCGACAATGCGATGCCAGCTTTTGTTGTTGCCAAGCCATAAAAGGCGTTCAGCACAATTCGCCTTTGTTTGCAAGTTTTTTTATATTTTGATTTTGATTTTGATTTTGGTTTTGGTTTCGGTTTTTGTTTTGCATTTCTCGTCTGGTTTGCTCCGCTCGCCTAATGGGCGCAATCTTGTCCGAAAGGCGTTTTGTCATTCGGCTAATGGACAAAAGGCGCAATCCACAATTGGGGCTGGCACTCGACATGTGGCTGAAGGCACTCAGACAGATGCCACAAGGTGTTAATTAACATCTGCCTGAGTGGAATACGTTTCAGCTTTCGTTATCCAAATGCATTCAGTCCTGGCCGAAGGGAAGGTCAGTCAGCTGGTTTGTTGGCTTATATTAGCTAAGCAGCAGTCAATCAGATCATCAATCATTATTCAGTCTGTTGGGCACAGACTCAGTGAATCATCGTATGTCATGTCAGTTCATGGGTTCAATCATTTGTCTGGCTAATTATCAGTTATGACTAGTTGTGGCTATGATCAGTCAGTCAATCAGCATATATAGTCAGTCAAGCAGTTAGATTGTCAATCAGTTGAAC